AGATGCATCTAATCACTCGTTGCTAGATGAACTCCTAGATGATCTTGGTGAAACGAGTAGGAAAATTTTTGTTTTCTGCAACGTTCCCCAACAGTCATGGTGTTTTCTTCTTCTTTGGTTTCTTCTCCCTCTGATGAAGCTCAACCAGATGGGGCTCCCATCAGAGAACTTGTGAGGCTTGTGCCTTCATCCCCTGTCTGACCAGAGTTGGGATTATCTTTTGGCCCTCCTTGATGCGAGCTTCTTCGGGGCGGCGTCTTATCAAGATCGTGATTGTAGGCGTCTTTTGGTCAACATCGACGACTTCGTTGCCGCTGCTTTTTCAAGCTCCTGTGGTTTCAACAAGGTTGCTCCGGCGAGACGTGACAATAACTTTTGCTCACGGCGCGTCATCGGCTGACGCAGAAGGAAGACGGTGCTGAGTAGGCAGGAAATGAAAGGGCATCTTTTCATTGCTGGAAATAATATAACCTTTTCTTACAAAAAAGAGATTGTAACCTTTTCTTTTTGAAAAAGAGCGCAACTTTTTCTTCAAGCAATGGAAAATCCAAAATCGCCCGCCAAAAATGGCATGTGCGCGTTTAAAGCATCATCGATACGGACGGGGGACACCATGGGCGAAACAGACGGTTTGCAAAAGAAAGAGATCGACTCACAACTGCGAAAGTGCCTTTCTGCTCCCGAGCTCATTTGAGCTTGGTGAACAGTAAAATCGAAAAAAATTCAAAAACAATTCAAAAAATTCCAAAAAAAATCCCAGAGAAACATTGACAAAAGTTCTAAGTGCTTGCAAAAATTCATCATGAAATCACATTCCTGTAAGCGTGACAAAAGAAAAACAAATTCAGCCTCCAAAATGCTTTTGAAAGTAGCATTTTCAGAGTACCGATTTTGTTTTTTTTTGCCACGCCTTCTAGAAATGTGATTTCATGACGAATTTTTGCAAGCACTTAAAACTTTTGTCAATGTTTCTACCAAAAAAAATTTGGAATTTTTTGAATTTTTTTTGATTTTTTTTCGGTTTTACTGTTCACCCGAGCTCATATGAGCTCGGGTGCAGAAACTCCACGTCCAACTGCGATCACGCCACGAAACGGAGCCTAACCTTTACAACACCTTGATCCGAACCATGACACGTACGTCCTCTTCCCACCAACCGAGTCGGGCTTGATCCGTGTGGCCGGTGCACGCATATATACGCGCGCGCGCCCCCTCCCCTCGTGGCACACCCAGCGAGAAAAACCAACCATCGTCTTTGGAAGCCCCGCGCACGCACAGCACTAGCGAACGAACTCGAGGGATCGTCGCGATGACGGGGGAGGAGCAGACGGTGCTGGTGCGGTGCGCGGACCTCGCCAAGTTCGCGGTGCCGGCGTCGGTGGCGCAGCGGGCGGGGAGCGTCGCGGCGGCGCTGGAGGCGGGGCAGAGCGTGGTGGAGCTGCCGCGGGGGGTCTCCGGCAAGGGCCTCGCCACGGCGGTCGCCTACTACCAGGCCCGGGCCGAGGCGGAGGAGCGCGGCGCGGACGGTGGCGAGTTCGACGGCGAGTTCGTCCGCGGGCTGACGCACGACGCCGCCATCGACCTCATCTACGCCGCGCACCACCTCGGCGACGAGGCGCTCTTCAACCTCTTTGCAGGCTACAGGGCTAATTAGTTCATTATAAGTAGTTGGTTCTATAAGAGGCGCAGTGAAGCTTTTTACTTGATTAATTTGTGTGTTGATCGAGTGAAATTTTCCTTTTTCTCCTTGTATCGACGCTATCTTGTGATTATAATTATGTCATACATCATCGTAAACTGTCTTGATTTTCTCTTGTGATGAAACCAGTTTACATTGTCTTGATTTCAATTTGTTGATTCGCATCCTATCGCTTTGTTTGAGACCCCTCACAACGGAAAAAGGAAGAAAAAAAACACGATCGAGCACAAGAACAGGACCAATGGAGACGAAACCAAGGTCGTGGACAAAAATAATAATAACACGAACTAGCAGCGACAAGCACGAAGCGCATGCAGACGGGACAAAAATGGAAGCGAGGCGCGCGATGCACAAAAAACCCAAACAAACAGCATATCGGCCACGGCGAGACTTCCAAACAACGCACGGAAAGCATTGCCTTGAACACAGTGTATTGAAGGAAAGAACAAAAACAGTTCCGCAGCACAATCGGCCAAGAAATATATATTTTTTAAAGGCAATCGAGCAATCTGCCAAGAATTACGGATACATAAAGGGCGTGATCGTGTTAGAGCACGTCTAGCGGACCCTTTATATCGCAGATCCTTATAGCGCATTTACAGTTCACGATACAAGTCGAAAACAGCCGCGACAGAACAGCAGCCGAATATCAACCCGTGAAATTTAAAATCATACATTCGCGCAAGAAATTGAACTAGTTCAGTAGAACTGCGAGCACTTGATCATCTTAAAAGGTCATACAAAGTAGAATTTTGACAACCAATATTTGGAGGAGCAGGCGTCACCGTAACCCTAATTACAAAAATGGGCTCATCGGAGCCAGGGGGATTGCGGCGGCGGAGGAGCTCAGTCCTCGTCGTCGGAGACGAGGTCGACGCCGACCTGCTTCTTGGCTACTAGGCGCCACTCTTCCATGTTGGGCACGAACTCTTGCGCCGTCGTGATCCCCTGCTGGAGGAAGATTCTGTCGATGTCAGTATCCCGTCGACGGCGCTGCTCCGCCTCCTCCTCCCGCGTAGAGCGCACAACAATGGCGGCCTCCATGACGTCTGCCTCCGCTCGGGAGGGTGTGTGTGTGGGGTGAGGGGGTAATCTTTCGGCTCGATGACGCCCCGCCGCCTTTGGCTCCCTCTTCACCGCGAGGAGCGGCGGGAGCTCCTCCGGCTCTCTTTTGACCGGCATGAGCGAGCTCGAGGCACCGGCGTAGGAGCTGCCCGCAATGGAGGAGCCAGATGACAGCCCGTGGTGGAGGAGCACCTGCCTGTGGTCGTACTCCTCCGTTTCGCGGCGGAGGAGCGATGAAAGCAGCGAGAGCCTGTTGTTGGTGTACCTATGGACGCTCCTTTTCCTCGCAGCGTCGACGGTGACGCACCGCCTCGACTCGGGTCGTTGCCACCACCGGCGCCGCAGCCCACCGATCACATTCCGCGCCACATCAAGAGGGGAGAGGGGGAATTTAAGTCGCCGGCGGCGAGAAACCGAGAGGGGGATTGGGAATTGCGGCACATTTGAATAGGGTTTCAACCCGTATTTCAGCCGCAAAACCTTACATATACTGCCGAGGGGGCGGTTTATGTGTCACTGTAAAAAAATGTACGGGCCGGACGAATATACATGCTCTGGGTTAGCCTAAAAAACGAGCCAAAACCGTATGGTCGCCGGATTTTTACGGGCCATCCCATTTTAAGGGCCTGTTAGAGATGCTCTTAGCGCCGGTCTACACTAGGCCAGGGCCTCCACAGCGTGATTGCTTTTTTTTTATCACGAGACAACAATCATGTTATGATCACCAGTCTGAAGCAAAATAACGACAGGCGTTGACAGTCTCGGCTCGATCAACAACCGTGCACACCCATGAGAGCGTTTAGTTACCGAAAATGCTAAACACACGGGGCTATTACAGGACCATTTTTTTATTTGCAGGGGGCTATTACAGGACCATTACGTGACTTCCCATAAAATTCTCTTCACCCCCTGATTTTCACCGGGGTGGGGCCCTTCCCCCTTTAATCTTAAAGATTAGCCAGTAAATCTTAAGTAATCCTCCATTGATGTAGCATTGGGTCACTTTGGGTCGGTTAGGAGCGCGCCGCTTAGCGCGTTCTCAGCCGCCATCACGTGTCACGCTCTGACGCTCCCTTCGAATTTATTTACTTTTATTTTCATGTACGTGTTTTCTGCCTTTAGATGCTTCTTTTAAAAAAATTGGCCTTTCCCTGTTTTTTAGGTTTAGGAAAAAAACTCATTTTTTAATGCGAGAAAACACATTTTTTTCCTTACTCAAGAGGTACGGATTTACTTCATCGAGAGGCACTCAGAAAAGAAATAAAATAATCGTGCCTCTTAGAAAAGGAAAAAAAAATGTGTTTTTTCCTTCCGCGACTGTGCCTCTTGAAAAGAAAAAAAACACTTTTTTTCTTCCGTTGAATTTCTCGCGTCTAAGATCTTCAAAACTAGATCCCATGTTGATAGATTTCGATAAACTTCTTTTTCACGAAAAAATGACAAAAAAACGTACCACTAAGAATTTTTTTTTCCTTTTCTCAAGAGGAACGAGTGTGCCTCGCGAAAGCAATCCGTACCTACACAAGAAGTAATTCCGTGCCTCTCACGAAAGGAAAAAAGGAAACACGTTTTTTCCCCGCGGAAGCAAATCCGTGCCTCGACGAGACGTAACTCCGTGCCTCTCGCGGAAGAAAAAAATTATGATAAATTCGTTTATCACACTTTTTTTTTCTCCTAAAACGTGTTTCTTTTTTAGGGTTGCAAAGAGTAATTCGGTGATTTCACGGAAAGAAAGCAGCCTCTCCGTGCACTATTTATCTTGGTTGGCCCAGCCCAGCGACAAGTGGAGACTCGTCTAGCTCATTTTCGCTGCGCCTCCTCCTCGCAGCGCCGCCGCATTCTCTACCCGGCGTCTCCAACCCATCTGATCACCTCCAAAAGCTCAGCAGGCCATGGCTGGATCCAGCAGCTTGTCCCGCTGATCGAGCAGCTTAAGCCTTCCCTGCTCTCGTGCGTGCGTGATTCATATCTATGGCTGCACGGCAGAGTTTTTTGTTCTGAAAATTAGGAATTAGTTCGCGCTCCGAAGGCTCTAGATCTAAAGTGCACAACCGGATGCTCAGAGAATTGCATATTACTGCTGCAGCTGCAGGTATGAACTTTGGCATCCTTTTGATCTCTCTATTTAGTACAGTACAGTACAGTACAGTACTCCCGATGTATTTAAGTCCCGTCAATTAATTCTATTGTATCCAATCTCTTTGGGACTCAGGGTATTGGAGGAGTAGTTGGTCCGATGGGTCGCAAGTTTCTGAATATGGTCCTGCACGAGTATGGCAGTAGAATGTATTCGCTGTGTCGCATCAACCTCTCCACTCATCTCTTCTACCCGACAGCAAAGGACGCAGCAACAGCCCATGAAGACGCGAACGCAAGGAAGAAGAAGAAGAAGCATGGGGGGATAATATGGCCATCGACGATCTCGAGCTGCAAGCGCCTGCCAAGAACGGTGGTCAACTTTTCGACGCCGCCCAGCACCGCCGCCGCCAGCAACATGCGTTTCTTCTCCCTCCTGCCCGAGCTGGGAGAGACCAGCGTCATGTTCGCCGACCCTTCCTGCAATTCCTCGGTCTACGATATGGGCACCAAGTCTTTCGTCCTCACACCCCAATCATACTTCTGCAAGCCGTATGATTCCATCGCCTTGTCCGTTAGGAACCTATGCAGCGGCGGCAATTTATTGGACCACGAAGACGACCACGGCCTCTACGTCATGAACAGCATAGACGACAGCTTTGAGTTCTTCAATTACTGCAAGGTTGGCTTGTCTACCTATCCGTTGCTGTACAATAAGTGGTACTGGAGCCCTCTGCCGCCCCCGCCGTCCGGCGGCCGTCCTCTCGTTGCGGCGGCGGTGATCGACAGCTCCAACGCCATATGCGCGTCGTCCAAGCACGGCACCTACACCTTTGATGTTTCGAGGGAGGTGTGGAGCCACACCGGCAGCTGGGTGCTGCCCTTCCACCGCGCGGCAGAGTATGTCCCTGAGCTCGGACTCTGGTTCGGCCTCCAGGCCCCTGGCAATGGCACCCCTCAAAATCGCTTGTCTGCATTTGACCTTTCGTCCTCTGCCATGGCGGAATCTGCTCCTTCGTCCCTGCATGATTGGGAATACCTCGATCTCCTCCCCGAGGAGTTGCTGCCTGTGGGGCGTGCCTTGGTGAACCTGGGCTCTGGCAAGTTTTGCATCGCGACCCACTGCAGGAAGGATAGGTCTGCACTACAGGAGGAGGACGAGCTGGAGAATATTAGGAGTTTGGGTGGAAATGGGGGTGTGCAAACTCTCTTGACTGGCGTGGAGGTGGTCCGCTGCGCCGACGGGCTCCAGCTTATCCACCACAAGTCCCAACGTTACAACATTGAAAACGTTAGAATCCACTGCGTGCTCTAGCTCATTTTATTACTTGCCGGATCATCCCAGCCTGAGCCATGTAGGTAGCTTTAAGCTGGATGCATCACTCTTATGGTTACCTCTAAGTTGAGACTTGACAAAATAATACTACTCCCTCCGTCTCATAATATAAGAACGTTTTTTTTTAGAGAGAGAGTACTTTTTTATTGATGAAAGTGCATTTTTTTTAGATTGCTGTTAATGCCAAACACCAATTTTTCTTGGCTATGTTCATGCCTTGCATCAACTGTGGTATTTTAAGCCGTTTTGACCTATACGGTGCTCGATAGCCCCCAGCGTTCATCCCAAGATATGAACAAACTCTCCATGAGATTCATAGTTACATTACTTATAGCTTCCTTATTCGTAGACAAAGTAGATTTGGAGATAGGTTGAGGAGAAAGAAAGGAGAAAACTAAAGAGAAAGATGGACTGTTTGACAATATCCGAATCAAATAAGAAAAAAAAACATAGTTATTTCATCAAATTTCAATTGTGTGGGTGTGAAGGGGAAAAAATCCCGTTCTGGCTGGCAGAGGGCATAGGACTGATAGCCCCCTATACTCGTTATTAGAGCACATATAATAAGATGATGTAAGCGGGCTATAAGGATTTAAATATTATATATTTGCTTAGTTGGAAGAGAGAGAATAAAATAGAGAAGAGACGCGGGCTGTAGATTTACAACCGGCTATAGCACGCGCTCGAAGAATCTTTGTGAGAGTGAAAGGTGAACCATATGTTAAAAAAGTAGTACTTCCTTATAACTAACTAATGACATGGCAACATGTTATAGCTAACGGCTGGCTATATTATTAACCATGCTCTTAGTATATTTTAGCCTCATATAGTCTTTTTTTCTCGTGTGGTCCCGTTTTGCCGTTGCGTAATAAGAATTATTTCTTTCCCATCTCATCAAACACAATTGAAGCTTCAACTTGATTTCAAAATCAAAGTTTACAAGTAAGATTTTAGGAATAACAATTTCTAGTACGACGTGGATTTTCCTCCCCATCTAGCTCAAGCTTTTCTTCTATTTGGAAGTGACCTTGCAAGCGGCGATGCTTCAGCGACTTCCATGGTCTACAAACTTTTGTTCGTCCTGGATGTGGGACCAGGTGAGCGTGGCGTCCATTTCTGCGAAGGTGACCGTCAACATGTGGACAAGGCAGCATCGTGGAAACGTGCTCGCTCCACTACTGATTCAACCGTTACCGAGTGTGTCCTCCTCGACCCACTTGGAATAGACTCGCATCCTCTCGCATAACTCTCTCTCGGTGCGGTCTTCGTTGCTCTCGACGGGGAAAGGTCTACAAGGAGGATGGGTGCTTTGGAAAATGGAGTGTCGCCGGCGAAGGGGGCAATGCAATGGTGCAAACAAAGTGAAAGATGGAGTGGCGCCAGCGAAGCGGAAGATGGGTGCCGCCCACAGAGGGTGGGATGGTTTATAAACCCGTGAACGGGCGCGCTCCGGGGAACAAGGATGGAATTGACGGGCACGGGTGCGAAACATGGCGGCGACCATTAACGTGCACGCTTCCTAGTGAAAAAAGTGTGCATCGTTGGCAGGAGCAGAAGCAGTAGTCGTATGGATGGTTGCGCCTTTGATAAGATTCGGCTCAGGAGGAAGAAGACATGCTTAAACTTCCCTCATGTGTTAGTGGTTGGGTTTGAAGTGCGCTTCATATCAGCACCCCAGCCTCCAAATACGAAGACTTGTGGGCTTGAATTGAAGCGCGCTCCGTAAATTATACGGGTCGAGACCAAGACTGGTTTTTCGAGGCTGGAATTGGAGTGCACTACATAAATTATACGAGTCGAGACCAAGACCGTTTTTTTCAAGCCTCGGTCTCCAAACTAATGGGTAATCGTATGGATGATTGCGCCTTTGACAAGATTAGGCTTGAAAGGAAGAAGACATGCTTAAACTTCCCTCGTTCGTTAGTGGTTGGGTTTGAAGCACACTCCATATCAGCACCGCAACCTCCAAATATGGAGATTTGTGGGCATGAATTGCAGTGCGCTCCATAAATTATGTGGGTCGAGACCAAGACCGAGTTTTTGAGCCTTGATCGCCAAACTAACGGGTAGTCGTATGGACGGTTGCGCCTTTAACAAGATTAGGCTCGAGAGTAAGAAAACATGCTTAAACTTCCCACCTGTATTAGTGGCTGGGTTTGAAGCGTGCTCCATATCAGCACCCCAGCCTCCAAGTATGGAGACTTGTGGGCTTGAATTGGAGCGCGCTCCATAAATTATATAGGTCAAGAACAAGACCAGTTTTTAAGCCCCAATCGCCAAACTGATGGGTTATTATGGCGATCCGGACGATATGGTGACTCTGCTAGACTTTCTCTGAGCCATGCTTCCCCGATGACCTTTTAGGGAACAAGAGAAAAAAAATGTTGCCATCAATTTCTAGGCCAAGTCTAGCAGTGCATTTTTACCCACCCGATAGACATTTTAGGGGAAAGAAGAGGGGTGAAACCTGTCTCTAACACTTCCTAGGGAAAGTCTAAAAATGCTCGGCCCTCTGACCCCCTCCTAGGTTTGCAACCACGCCAATGACTATGTCTAGAACTCTCCTTCCGTGCCACCATGCTGCCACTCCCTCTTGTCTCCTCCATTTTATTTTACAAATGTGTCGTGTCGGGGGATAGACCCCGGGTAGCCTCATCCGCGCCCAAAAATATTTCAAGACATCGGGGCTATCTAAGCCCCTCCTGCCGACCGGTCACACGGCCGGCCTCCTGGGCCGACTAGTGCCATGTGACCCGCTTCTAGAAGACGGTGTGCTCCAAGAAGGCGGCTTGGGCACGGGCGGCCTCCAGCTGCCGGCCCATCCCCTCCCTCGGAGTCTGCACTCAACCACTACGACAAGATGGAGCATAGCAACAGTGCCACCTACTCCCCTCGAATCCCAGTGGGGCGTGGCTACAGTGAGCGCTGACCAGGCGGCCACCTACACACCTGACGGAGCACTGTACCATACGGCTCCTGACGCGGCCCTCGTCAGCATGGATGGCGCTACAACAAAAGGAAATCAATGGGACCTACAGGCAATGGGCTTTACCTGTCGGACGGATTCTCTGCAGCCGGTGGGGCCCTCCAGAGGCGGGCCCCAGCAGTCGGTGGAGAACCCAGTGACCTTAGACACTGACATCCAGGTCCCACACCTGGCCGCATTACCATTGTACCCCTGGGGGGTTGGCCTATAACCCCCCCCCCCCCAAGGGCTCACCCATGCAAAGGGTTCACCTCAGTTCAGCACACACACCACTCCACACACCATAGCTAGGAGAAGCAAGGGAGAGCCCTACCCTTCTTCCTCCTATAGTAACACAGCCCAAGGGGCAACCTTGTACTCATATTGATCATAGTCATCATAGCAGGAGTAGGGGTGTTATCTCTCTGGAGAGCCCCGAACCTGGGTATGTCTCGTGTGCCTTCGAGCTCGTGCTCACTCCCGCTTCCGGAAACCGACGACGTCCTCATGGCAACACCCACGATAAGCCACCCCCTGGCATCTAACATGAGACTACAACGATAGTTGGCGCCCACCGTGGGGCCATCCGCGGCGTCGGCCGAAGCTACATTCCGGACGGGAACCATCCTTCCCTCTGGCGAGCGTGTCGTGGCTGGTTTGATTAGCCAGCCTGATGCGCATGCTTGCGCTTGCACCGGCGCATCGCGTGTTGCAGGAGCCATCTGCCATGCGAGCTGCCTCGTCGACCTCTTCGGCAAGCTCAACCTCTTCGACGCAGTCGCTTTCGACGCGGGAGCCCCTTGCTATGTGAGTTATGATAACCCACAAGTATAGGGGATCAATTGTAGCCTCTTTCGATAAGTAAGAGTGTCAAACCCAACGAGGAGCTAAAGGTAGAACAAATATTCCCTCAAGTTCTATCAACCACCTATACAACTCTACGCACGCTTGACGTTCGCTTTACCTAAAACAAGTATGAAACTAGAAGGACTTTGTAGGTGTTGTTGGATAGGTTTGCAAGAATATAAAGAGTACGTAAATAAAAACTAGAGGCTGATTAGATAAAGACGCAATAAAGTTAGTATAGCGAGTGTGGAAAAGTGGTGGTAGGAGTTGTGAAATTGTCCCTAAGCAATTGACTACTTTACTAGACTGATAGCAAGTTTTATGTGGGAGAGGCCACTGCTAGCATGTCATCCCTGACTTGGAATTCTATGCACTTATGATTGGAACTATTAGAAAACATCCGCAACTACTAACGTTCATTAAGGTAAAACCCAACCATAGCATTAAGATATATTGTTCCCCCTTCAATCCCGTATGCATCAATTTCTATGCTAGGTTGAAGCTTCTGTCACTCTTGCCCTCCAATACATAGTCCTATCAACATACAACTAACCCTATGGTGTGGTCCACGTGCACGCTCATATGATGGGAACCAAAGGACAACAACATAACCACAAGCAAATTAAACCAATCATAGCAATTCACCAATTACCGATAGGACAACAAAAATCTACTCAGACATCATAGGATGGCAACACGTCATTGGATAATAATATGAAGCATAAAGCACCATGTTCAAGTAGAGGGTGCAGCGGGTTACGGGAGCGTGGACTGCTGTAGATAGATGGGGGAAGGTGATGGAGATGTTGGTGAAGATGACGGAGGTGTTGGTGTAGATCACGGTGATGATGATGGCCCCGCCGGCATTCCGGCGCCACCGGGAGAGAGGGGGAGAGAGCCCCCCTTCTTCTTCTTCTTCCTTGACCTTCTCCCTAGATGGGAGAAGGGTTTCCCCTCTGGTCCATGGTCTCCATGGCGTGGGAGGGGCGAGAGCCCCTTCGAGATTGGATCTGTCTCTCTATCTCTCTTTGTTTCTGCGTTTCATATTTTGGCCTTTCACCGTTTCTTATATTCTCGGAGATCCGTAACTCCGATTGGGCTGAAATTTAACACGATCTCTATCCGGATATTAGCTTTATTACGGTGAAAGAAGGGCACCAACCGCCTT